AAAAAAAAAAAAAAAAAAAAAAAAAAAAAAAAAAAAATCAAAACATACTCCCTAAGCTTAGCAGTCATCTCTTCCAACCCACCGACAATCTCCTGATTAACCAACCTATCCCCTCCTCTCCACATAAATACTCTCCGCAACGTGCACAGAATACGGCACCAGCTTCGCAAACAAGGGCCTTCCCAACGGCAACCCTTCCCCAACCAACGCCAACGCCTCCGTCACCTCCCTCGGCGCCTTCGCAGCAACCATACTCGCCCGATCCAAAAGCTTCAACTCCGCCTTCGCAGGCACAGGCGTAAGATAAATAATATCATTATCCTTCTCTGCCCTCTTCAAATCCTCCATAACCCGTTCCTTAAGCCCGTTCAAATTCCCCAACACAACCCGATTAATCCACCTACTCTCCTTCAACGCCTCATTAACGCATGACACGCTATCACGCAACCGCGCTATCTCCTCCCCATATTTTTGCTTCTCAAGGCAATCGCGCGACTGTCTGTATTGCGCCGCTGCTGCGAAGTGGTGGTGCTTGGCTGTCATATGGTGGATCCACTCGGTGCTAATGGCGTCGGATTTGACGCCGCAGTCACCCGCGTTGGCATATAGGTCTGACACTTTGGCCGCCAGGCGTGCTATGGAGGCATCTTTCAGTCCGTCCTTGACGGCCTTTTGCCAGAAGCATTCCTGCGCCTGTGCCAGAAGGAGCTCCTCGAGGCTTCGCAGGGTCATTTCGTCCATGTCTTCTGGTGGTGAGGAGCGGAGGTCGGGGAGGATGTCTGTGCGTAGGTGGACGAGGACGCCAGCGGCGTGGCAGAGGTATTTGCAGGCCGTTTTCAGGTTGTCGGGGGTTGTGCTGTTGAGGGAGACGGCGAGTTGGGAGTAGAGGGCGGCGAGGTTGAAGAGGATGTTGGCGAGTTCGAAGCGGAGGTTATTTTGGGAGACTGTCAGGGTGTCATTACATTAGAAGTCGAGTTCACGGAGTTAAGGGGGAATGCGGTAAACAACGCAATCGCTCACCGGGCCTCGACGTATTAAACCCAAAAGCCGGATACCACGAAAACTCCACGCCAATCTAGATACTTCCTATCAGTCAAAAACAAACATACAATCCCCCTCCATATGTATATATATATATATATATATATATATAATATAATATAAAAAATAAAACAAAGCATATTCCACCCAATGCATAGATATAAACAGCCTACATCAATAGGAAACTTGCCCCCCAACCACTTCAACTGCGCCGCATAAGTCACCAGCCGACTAATGCCCGACACATGCGGCTCTCCCACATTAATGGCATCATTTCGCAGGCGGTCGATAATCAGCAGATCCTCAGTAAACATTTCGGGCCGCTGATCATACTTCGAGGAGATGTATTGGGTTATGGCGGCGGAGAGGGAGATGGGATGGCTGCGGCGGAGGGTGAGGGGAAGGATGTTTCTGTGTATTGTTGTCTTGTTAGAAATGGTTTAGTGGTTTTGTGCGGGAAGGCGGAGGGGGAAGGGCGTGGGTGGGTGCGGGCGCGGGATAGATAGATGGGCGGAGAATAGGATGTTAAGTGAGGGGAAGGGGAATGGGTTGGAGAACTTACGATGCCATGATTTATCGTCTAGGGATTCGTCATATATATTATCGGGTTGGATACTACTAATCTGCCGTGTGTTGGGGTTATATGATCGAGAGTGCGAATATGCGGTTTACTGCCCATAAGTCTCAAAGAAAGTAAATAACTGACATAAATAAATTTCCAGGCTGCGATGCCAAGTCTATGCAAAATAAGGTTAAGATCTTGCCAAGTAGCTACGTGGCCCGTGCGCGAGTTATGACGTAGCAGCGGAAAACCTTCAACTTGCAACAACAATTACAACAACACATCTTTTTTTCTTTCACATCCAAGCGGGATGATTGCTGCTTATCAGCGTTGCTGGAGAATGTACCGTAATTTCTTATGTACCTGCGTACCTATAGACTGATGAAAGAGCCAGCGCCAAACAACTATACCCAGCACACTACAGCACAGCACAGAGTACAGTACAAGTCTGTATATACATATATACAGTTCTCCATGAACCAATACATCCCATGCAAAAATGTAGAAGTAGAAAAAATATATATATGACTGAGCCACGCGGATCTCAACCAGCAATGGCAAAGTTGACTTTGATAAAAAAAAAATAAAATAAAATAAAACAGGTTGGATTTAGGGGGGAAAAAAAGAAGAAGAGAAAAAAAAAAAAAAAAAAGGAGGGGAAGAAAAAATAAACAAGAAGCAGAGTGTGATTTGAGGAAAAGGAGGAAGGTAGGAAAGGGGGAGCCGAAGAGAGCAACGAAATCATCACCACCACCACCCGCCGCCATATATCACCATAAAATGCCTCGAAAATTTTGTAAAATATCACCAGAAAATGACTCATCTGATCGGCTTCATAGAAAAGGGAAAAAATGACAAGCACCCAGACACCGTGATACTAACACAAGAGGGAAGTAAAAGTATAGATGAAAAGAGACCATAACCAAGCCTTCCTCCTTCAGGGTGTAGATAAAAAGGGCGGGGTAGCGGAAATTAAAGGAAATGAGAGTACTCATTGCTAGCAATATGAAAAATATCATACCAAAAGCCGAGGGAAAAAGGAAAGCACTCGCAAAGATAAAAATCACAATCATCAACACAAAATATCTACCACAAGATCAGACGGAGAAAAAATAAGAAAATAAAATGCCTGGAAATAGCAAACGAAATATTAATCACAAGAAAAGCAAAATGATATGGCCCCCCCTAGCCATATACATCTGTATGTAATACCCGTCTGTCACTCTGTCCATCCCATTCAAACTCCATGAGAGCAAAAGAGGCCCAATGGACATCAGCACATCTAACCTTCTGCTCCGAACCTTTCACAAATCGCGCTCCTCTTCCTGTGTCTGCGGACTACCCATGGTTACCCCCATCAGAAAAGTGTCTCCCAAAAATTTTATAAAAAGAAGAGGGGAGATAACAAAAAAACCTACCCCTTGAGCTGGTTAATCTTAACCTTCAAATACTCAAACGTAGTCAGAAGAATCATATTCTGAAGGGCAGTTCGCGCAATCGAGACGGAGATGCCCTTGTACATCGAGGATCGTGCAACCGCCATAGTAGCTTCACCGATCTCCTTGGTCTTGCCAAGCAGGATACTCTGCGCACGAGTCTTCTTGGTATCCAAGGTATAGGTCTATGGGAAAGCCAGGGAAAAAAAATAAAAAGAGTTGAAAATAGTTAATTGAGATGTAAATGACGCAGTAAGCGAAATAGGGGGAGAAGTAGGAGGTATATATGGAATGGATAAATACTAACACAACACCAGGGGATAACCCCAGACAATGCGCCTGCAACCATTGGTGCTCCAAACGGCGAGGTATGCTCCCCAAGGTAGGTGGAAATGAGTTGCTTGGATGTCTCATAGATGCCAAAGTACAGGCCGGTGCCAATGGTGTCGCGGATCGCGTGCAAACGCACACCGGTATATAGACCACGGTACCCGTGGGCGGGCGACAATCTGTCTGAAGGCGTCAATGGTGCCGATGCGCGGCATGTTATGTAGCGACGGGTGGCCAGTTGCTGTTGTAGCGTGGGACCTGTTGGACATGAGGACAGAGGTTTGGACGACGTTCTTGCACAATTCGAAGGGGCCTGAATAGGTTAGGAACGGAAGGATTTTTTTTATTTCATTTTTTATTTTATTTTATTTTATTTTTCAAGGAGGAATTGAATAACTTACAAGCTATAGGGGTTGCGGCGAGACCTCCGACCATCCCAGATACTGTGAAGCAGGTTACACTAGCAACTGTTGGCAGACTACCTGGAGTGTTGTAGGTAGCCAATGGCGATTCTCCGGTGACCCGCTCGAATATCTTAGATATGGCATGCTTTACATTTTGATAGACGGTGAAATTTGTCACACGGACAATGGTCACGGTGGCCAGGGGCGGAAGAGCTCCTGGATAGATATTTTTAGTTTTTGGCAAAGGAGATGGAAAGATTGGTAGAGGCGGGTAAAGAGACAAACCTGCGGTATAGCCCCTTAAACCTTCAGTGCGCCAAATATATTTAGCGCAGTGAGTTAGATTTTTGAAATCATGGCTAGAAGTAAAATAGGAAATGATTAGAGAGGTGGGTAGATACATATACAGCTTTAGGTAGGATATGCTTACGTCTGCATTCGGGTCTTGAGATTCTCAAGGGGTGTCTGGCATAGTACATGACATGTTAGTTTGCTGTGCATAGCTTAAAGGTGGTTGGTTGGGTTGCTGTGTAATAACAAAGACACCCATAACAACATAGAAACACAACACGACAAGCAAACATACCACTGAGAGAGTTGCAAGGATGGTCGAGGTAGCTGAAGCAGCCTGGGTGCGGTAATCCTTCAGGATCTTGTTTCTCTTAGCTTCGTCCATTGCCCAGCAAGGAGTCGAGGCAACGCTGGCTGAGGGAGCTGTAGCTGTGGATGGGACCTGTACTGAGATGGGGACTATGGCTGGTGGATGAGAAGGTGATGATGAGCACGAAGAGGATGAGGAGGACAAAGAGGAAGACAAAGAAGAAGCGGAGGAGGGAGATGAGGTTGAAGAGTGAGAAGCTGTTGTCCGGTTAACGGCAGCATTGTGGTTGCTCTGGTGTTCCTGTTGGTGGAGTGATGGCATTATTTCCTCTTGTTTTCCAATTGGAAGAATGAGTTTATGTGGCATGTGGCATATGGCGTTCTCCGTATCAAATATGTGGTAACACCGCTCAAGCACAACTATTAGAGGAAGAAGAAAAAAGCACGGTATCATTTCCCTTTCATTTCACTTCATTTGACGGGATATGCCATGGACTAGGGAATCCGATGGAACGCAAAGTGGTCTCTCAAGCAAGGAGTGAGCAGACCTCTTAGCGTCCCACAACTGTCCATGGAGGAGAGAGTGTGGATGACCAGTTTCCGGCTTCGATTGAGGTGGAAACGGAGGGAAGAACTCAATCAGGGGGTGCGGGAAAGGGAGCAAACGGTCTGGAGCTTGAGCACGGGGGTGTTTCTGGTATATCCGGATATATGTATATATACCTGGGGCATATATAAGAATGGTGAGGTTAGGAAGGATATTGCATATAGGGATATTTGAGAGAGGTATATAATATCTGATAGCATAGATGATCGGAAAACGAGCAGATCTACGGAGGGCAATTCAGTCAATGAATATGAATCTCACGAAGTGTCCAATCTACAGGTAGAGAATGGGGTTATATACAGAGGGCACAGACATACGGTTGAGTAGGTAGA